TCCAGGAGATAAGAATATCTTTTTGTCCACAGATTTTGAATTATGGTTTTTGACTGTCAGATCATTTATTAAAATTATTTAATTTTCACGGATAAATAGTACATATTTTCACTTATCTAGGCGATCTGTTGAACTTTGCATTGAAGTGATCGTGATAGTAACTTCAATTAAATGTTCACTGTTACCCTATTACCTTCGCGTAATAACAAGAAAAGGTTTCACCTGATTACGAACAAGTCTGGTTGTATGTTGAATGTCCTCAAAGAACTAATTGATTAACGTCTGATAAACATAAGTCAAAATTCAAAGTCACACTAAAGCTGGCGAAGTAAGACAAATCGTAGTTATGACGCTTGTTATCTTAGACTTAGATAGATTTAGGCAATTTATTAAGAAAAGGGATTGTCATAAGTAGTGTTTGTTACACATCTAGAGAGTTCACTTTGTAAGACGTTAAGTTTGAAAACACATTGCACTGTTTTGTTATTGCCTAATTTAAATGTGTATTATTATTTAATTTTGAAGATTATCCCGTGAATAAGAAAACAAGTTGCGTCTATGTAGAGGACGACGTTTCGAAAGTCTTCCGCCTTTCGTCGTCCTCTACATTTGTAGGTTTCTACAACAGACAGTTGCTGTCTATTTGAAACTTAGATTCATTATGAATACGCTGCCTAAACAACCTATCAAAGTTGCGTCTAGTATATTTTGACAGATTTTGTTTTATTTGTTTTCTGGGCCTTAAACATACTGATTACATACATATCTAGAGATAATACTCATTGGGTTCATTTTAAATTAGAACAAGTATAATAAAGCCCCCCCCCCCAGTGCCACAGCGGTATGTCTGCGGACTTACAACGCTAGAATCCGGGTTTCGATACCCGTGGTGGGCAGAGCACAGATAGCCCATTGTGTAATAACAATTGACCAAGAGTAATTCCTTCTGAGCCTAGATTTCGCTTAGAACAAGCTCTTTATTGGTTATAACCGAAGTAAACATACCCTTCCACAACAAAATACCACCAAAGCACTATTACTTATGATTTTCCTATTGTTTGAGAAATAGCTTGTCACGTTTCACATTATTATTCTTGGAGTGATTATTGAAATATTTCGAACTCGATACGTTTATCTGGTTTTCATTGAAGCATTTCTTTGATGGGTGTGGCGGGAGTGACACAACCAAACAGAAACGAATTTATATTTCCACTCATTTAATCGAAATCTAAACATGTAATCAATATAACTACTGACGAAGGAAGAACATTTTTAATCTAATATCATGCTTGTTGTTATTTGCTTTTCATAATATTATTATTTCGGTTATATATTTATGTTTTACCTTTAACGCTATCCAAATAATCATACGATTTCTACCAAGCTAGAGACTAAAATATGGTTGCGAAAACGTTTGTAAAATAATAGTTACATGTTAAAAGAATAAATTATTATTATTTTCGAATTTACATGAGATTAAATCTAGTTAATTGTTAATTAATAATTCAGAGTAACATACTATGTAGCCTTCATATTTGCATTTCACTGGCAAAAACGTTTAGAAGTATAATATTGGAAGAAAATAAAAATTAATATATGTTTGCCGGCTCAATGAAGAGAAGGACTAAAATCTAAATACTCCTGACATTTTTGGTATTTACTGTTATTTCGTATATGGTAGAACTAAAATCTAAATACTCCTGATATTTTTCGTATTTACTGTTATTTCGTATATGGTAGGACTAAAATCCAAATACTCCTGATATTTTTGGTATTACTGTTATTTCGTATATGGTAGGACTAAAATCTAAATACTCCTGACATTTTTGGTATTTACTGGTATTTCGTATATGGTAGGACTAAAATGTGAATACTCCTGACATTTTTGGTATTTACTGGTATTTCGTATATGGTACTGCTTCTTCAGTGTTAATTTGTGGAAGAGCAATGGATATCGAAGAAATGTATGTGTGTAAGGAGACAAATAGTAAAAACAAGAACTGTAACCAAGTATTTCTTATATGTGAGAATCTGAAAGACACTGGTTCTTTTTAGAAACTTCTCACGTATATATTCTAAAAGTCAAAAGTTTTATCCTAAAGATCAAAGGATCTTACTTTTTTCCATTAAATCTCCTTCGTTTTCTTGTCCATCCACTAATGCCCCAAAAATATCCGACTTGTTTCTACATTTTTCATACTTACATTTTCTCAAGCCGAACCTACAATGGTATGCTCTACACGAACTTTATATCTCTAGGTGCTCCACTACACAATAAATGTTTTGTGGTAATACATATATGTAGAAAGTCCTTGGTCTACCATATAAATGACTGATGAAGACATATATCCCTCAGAGAAAGAAAAATTTTCAATAAATCTTAAGTGGATTAGGCTATTGTAATTTTTTTACCTTGCAGATCTGTGTGTCAGACGCACATGTCGTGGATAAAAAAACAAATGCAACGAGAGGCTGTTTGTTGAGTTCCGACTGTCTATATATCGATCTTTGATAATGCTTTGGAAATCAGTCTAGTCTCACTAGTTGGTTATGTCACTCTTTCGCCAAATGTCAAATATAACGAAAGCAATCAAGTGTGTATTCTATGTCATTTACTCCGAACCATATAATTACGTCTGACATACCTTGTTTTGTAGGATTACATTGTTTCAGGTTTATTTTATATATCAGTAAACTTTGAATGAATGTATTTGTTCAAAACGTCAGTTCTCTTGTGAAAAAACCGAACCGTTCTTATTATTCTTTCTCTCTCTTTTCTTTTGTAATGAAACATATGCTTATGGATAATTTTCAGTATATGTATCCACCATACCTACACACATCATTATTTCTATAATTTTGAAAGAAACTCTTAAAGTAATAGATGACTTGGTTACAGTGTATTTTTGATAACACATCATGAGAAAAGTATCAAAGTCAAGAAAGCAAAATGTTGCATAAAATAGAATAATTACAGTAAACTGCAACTACTAACAGCTCAACTAAAGTGTACAATAAGTTTAATACAGCTCAACTAAAGTGTACAATAAGTTTAATAAGCTCAACTAAAGTGTACAATAAGTTTAATACAGCTCAACTAAAGTGTACAATAAGTTTAATACAGCTCAACTAATGTGTACAATAAGTTTAATAAGCTCGACTAAAGTGTACAATATGCTGTTTAATACTTATGGCTCATCCACACTGAACGAAGTCGACGTAAGCGAACAATTTAAAAGTACTGCTGTCAAATGGAAGTATCCACCCCAGAATGAGCAAAGTCATTTTGAAAATTTTTCGCTTTACTAAATTAGAACCGGTCTCTATTTTTTATTTTTATTTTATCGACGTGCGAATCGAAGGAAATTGGCCAATCAAAATAACCGGAACTATAGTAATGATAGTGATTATGTAGCGCTTAACAAAACCGTAATAATAATAACAAGGTTGCACTTTAAAATACTTTAGAAAACTAATAAACAATAAAGAACGAAAGAAGGAATTTCCACAGAAACACAACCGAGATTGCAATAAATTGTATGTAAATAACAATCAAATTATTTTAATTTCAGTTTGTTGAAAACATCAGTTCAACTATAGGCTACTACTATGTCGGTGATCAGAGCTCATCTTATCAAAACACGGCCTGTTTTGTAATGGGACGGCCCATCTCTACTACGTCCGATAACAATGCATGAACAGATCATGTATTTATTTCTAATCTTTTGGAATGTTTCCAGTTCGCGTCGAGTGTTGACTGACATTTGGTAAGAGCCTCTATGCTGTCCTGACATATAGGGTTTGTTAGATTTAACATCTAGGTATTGTCTTTGTTTTCAAATTGTTAGATGATTCAGTAGCTTACGATATATAAGTTTAATACAGCTCAACTAAAGTGTACAATAAATTGTCTTTGTTTTCAAATTGTTAGATGATTCAGTAGCTTACGATATATAAGTTTAATACAGCTCAACTAAAGTGTACAATAAATTGTCTTTGTTTTCAAATTGTTAGATGATTCAGTAGCTTACGATATATAAGTTTAATACAGCTCAACTAAAGTGTACAATAAATTGTCTTTGTTTTCAAATTGTTAGATGATTCAGTAGCTTACGATATATTTTCACCATTACGTGTTATGAAAGACATATTTAGTCAGAATTGTGCTGTTTTCACCATTACGTGTTATGAAGGGCACGTTTAGTCAGAATTGTGCTGTTTTCACCATTACGTGTTATGAAAGGCATGTTTAGTCAGAATTGTGCTGTTTTCACCATTACGTGTTATGAAAGGCATGTTTAGTCAGAATTGTGCTGTTTTCACCATTACGTGTTATGAAAGGCATGTTTATTCAGAATTGTGCTGTTTTCACCATTACGTGTTATGAAGGGCATGTTTATTCAGAATTGTGCTGTTTTCACCGTTACGTGTTATGAAAGGCATGTTTAGTCAGAATTGTGCTGTTTTCACCATTACGTGTTATGAGAGGCATGTTTATTCAGAATTAGCTGTGTACCGTCCTTCGTACGGGTTGTGTGTATAAATAATACATTAATTTAACAATTAACAAACAAATTACTTGTACATTATTTACATTACATTTTACATTTTTTATTGTACATTATTATAACAATTAAATATAAGTTAACAAAAGATACTGTTGACCATGTGTTAACTGCGTCACTTAGAAAAAACGGAAAATGTCAAATTGTGATGAGTTGTACTTGTGTGTTTGTAGTGTATCACACATCTGTGAAAAAATTAGTTTATGTACGTCTTTCCAGTTCCTCCAGGAGCGTCAAGGAAAAAGATCGTGTGATCTGTTGGACTGTGGATGCTAGAAAGAACATGGTCATAGACTTGACGCTGTTCGTCTGTGAGCATCGGGTAGTTCTGCTCAACAAAGTTTAGAAATTCAGGATGGTTGTAGCTGGTCTCCCTGATGTAATCAATATTCAACTGATGAACAGCTCTGGCCGGCACAGGTAGGTTGTAATTGTCTAACCGCAGACCACCAATACGGGTAATGATCTCCTGCATGTTTTCAGGCACAAATCATACAGGTTAGGAGCATTGTCGTACGTTATGTTAACGTCCACCTGTTGAGCTGCTGTCAAAATGCCCTCAAACAGGGAGTCTCTGAACCTCATCCAGAGATCGAGGGGGTTACTCAAGTTGCAGAACACCACCAGTACACTGAAGAGATCTCTCAACTTGCGAGGGCTCTCGGAAACGGCAGCCCCCCTGAGTGTTTCCTCCCAACAGGCTTCATCCTCCAAGAGTCCAATGGCCCGGCAAGCAGACTGGAAAGTAGGGTGCAGTTCACCACGGACCGTCTTTAGGTCGTTGAAAGAGATAGGGCCTCGAACAGAGTGTAGAAGCAGGCGAAGGTGGTAACGCTCACTGCAGCTAGGATGGACGGTGTATACTCTTCCGATGCATGAGTCTTGCTTTACATTGGGGTGACCTGCCACTGGTTGTCCTCTCAGTCTCCTGGCCCAACCTCTTTGTCTTGAGTACGTAAAATAGGAAGGTACTTCATTGTAAAGAAATGTCCTGGCAAAAGCATCTGACTGGCAGAGATCAAAGAATACCAAAAGAGTTGTGCTACGCTCCATTTGTTCCCTGACATTGTCTGGCTGAAAGTAGACTCGCTGTTCGTCTGGGAGGTGGACTTCCAGGTGCGAGACAGCAGGGAACCTCTCATGTATAGGGAAAGACAGTATTCGCCACACTGCCTCAGATGTGCAGATGTAACGTCCACTCTGGTACCTCTGGATTTCATCTGTTTCGTCACTAACAGCAAACATGACATGGTCAGTCCCCTTATTGACACATTTACACATGTACTGCTACAGTACTCTACATTGACGTGGGTTTTGAACGTCCGATATAGAACAGGAGAGTAAGGCACTACCTATCGGTTGTCCATAGGAACGTATTCACTGCCAACTTTGATGAGCACATGATGGCCACCGTCCCCTGGGGCACGCCTTCTGTGAGTGGGGTATCCATTATCTCCTGTCCTTGTTTCCCTAACAAATGGCCTAGGATACCTTTTACTGCAGTGACCATCCTTGACCATCCTTTACTGCAGTTGACGTCGCCTCACACTGAAAGCGCCACATGGGCCATGCAACATGTGAGTCTGGACGGTGTTGGAAAGCTCAGGATCAGCTTGAGAGTCTGGCAACTCGGCACAGATGACTTGATCCACTCTGTTTGGAAGAATGGGCATGAGGAAGGCCACGCTTCTGCCATTCGACCGAGTACATGAAGCAGCGTACTGCACCATAAATCTGGCCTTTGGTGAGAACCGCCATGAGACACTTTAGCTTGAGTTGAAAAACACGTGACGTAACGTCATGGCGGTCCTCAGCAAACTGCCGTTCTCCAATTACAGTTGTGATTTCTAGCCACTTGGGGTTTGTTGTAATTGTGATGAAGAGGTCAGGTCGGCCGAACTTCTGGACATAGCACAAAGCGTCCTAGGTGCGTGAATGCATGTATCTAGGTCCCACAGTAAAGGTGGAAGTTAAAATTATTTCATTACGTATTATGAAAGGCATGTTTAGTCAGAATTGTACTGTTTTTGAAAATAGGCATGATATAAGAGGACTGTAAGAGAAATAGTTTTTGATCTCAAGAATGTTCAATGAAAGTGATATTAAAGCATTTTTATACATCGAGTCTGTATTTAGGGAAAAGACTGGTAAATAATGCTTATATTCGAAGAGGGTTGTCAGGGAGACGTTAGAGGAATGTCGTGTGGACAGCGGTGTGTCAGAAAAATATTATCTGCTCAGAAGACTACTGTAAAAAGTTTATGTGATGGGAGAACTGCTAGAGAAGCATGAACAGAATACTGTGAAGGATCAATGATCGTGTTCAGAATGATTGAGAAATATAATGTGGTCAAATAACTATTAATGTTAGGTTGCATAACTAGAAGACTGTAATTCGAACATTAGTAGTAATCCCCGCACTCTGGACATACGCGCTGATTAGGGAGTAGGAGGGGTATAGCCGATGAAGTCATAGTGCCACGCACCATATAGTAATACGTCCACAAAGTAGAACCAGAGAGCGTCTTAGGAGAAGGGTGTTACCTAGGTTCTATAAGTGGACGAGGTTACCAAGTTTCTATAGGCGGACAGTGTTACTAAGGTTCTCTAGACGGATGGTGTTTCTCGGCTGATGGTCCTAATAGGCATATTGTGTGTGTTTTACATAGATGGACAGGGTTTCTAAAGGCATATAGTGTTACTATTCTTTTGTACCATGAAGTGGTACCAGAAAGCGCATTGATATGATGAGTGTGCAGATAGTTCATGAGTGAATTACTAGAGAATGACATCAACTTTATAGTAATAACCAAAGTCTTAAAATTAATAATTTAATCTAACTTGCATAATTTTATATTTACAATTATTAATATTGAAAAGTTTTCATCCCAATTACAGTTTCACTTTAAAAGTGAAAACATTAAATCTGCTATTTTAATCTTATCAGCTTCATAGTTTTCGCATATATAATTCATACGTTTAACAAAGGTATTACTAACGTTTTATAGATGAATGGTGTTACTAAGTGTAGGCATTTTTGTAGGTGAGCAGTGTTACTTTACTTCCATAGGGTTGCATGGAGATTTCAATTTGTCTCAATATATATTTATAGATTACAATTATATATGTAACTGACTTACGTGTGTTTTACAAAAACGATGGTCTTACTAAGTGGATTGTGTAACTTAAGTTCTACAGGCAGATGGTGTTACTAGCTGGACAGTGTTACTAAGGTTAATACTACTACAGCAGATGGTTTTTCTATAAGCAGATAGTTCAATAGGACGATGAGCTCATCTTAGGGTGTCTTAACACGTGATTATGTCATCAACATAAGAGTAAAACCATCATTTTAATGAAACAATTATTATAACACTGTTACATGTGTTAGTTTGATCACACATACTATCTTAATTTATCCATTATTTCCAACAGTTATTATAACACTGTTACATGTGTTAGTTTTAGCACACAAACTATCTTAATTTATCCATTATTTCAAATATTAGAGTCAATAATTTACTTTGCATATTTTTACAATTATACGTCTTGAAAGGATTTTATCATACATAATGTATCATTTTTATAAATATTGAACGAAACAGTTACTACAGATGATTGCGTTTTTAAGTATCGATTTAGTATGCAGTTAACATGCTGTTTATACTTTTGATGATTGTGTTTTTAAGTATCGATTTAGTATGCAGTTAACATGCTGTTTATAGTTTTTGATGATTGTGTTTTTAAGTATCGATTTAATATGCAGTTAACATGCTGTTTATAGTTTGATGATTGCGTTTTTAAGTATCGATTTAGTATGCAGTTAACATGCTGTTTATACTTTTGATGATTCCGTTTTTAAGTATCGATTTTTAAGTAGTGCTGTTTATAGTTTTTCCTTCACATATTTAATTTGCACGACATACTTTAAGCATTTTCTGATGATTTATATGTAAAACACTTTTTGCTAATTCATTTGTATAATCAATAGATTGTGTAACATCTAAATAATATACAATAATTTGATATTTATCTTTATAAGTTGATTTGTTCTGCTAAAGTTGAAAGGATCTACACAAATAATTCGTGCTTAGCTATTATTATTCTTACCTTTCAGTATATATTTTCACAAAACCCCAAGAGGCAGATCTTATATTAAGGAGCCAATGGTGCCTAATAGGAATGAATGAACGTTATCCACTCTTGAAGTAGTTTTGCAATCATCGATAACAACTGTTCTTTTGACAGTAAGTAGGTGTACAGTGTGGGGCCTCTTGTTGCTGTGTCTATTTTCGTCTACAAAAATTTTAAAATTCAGGGAACTGTGATTGATGGCAGCTTTAAGATGCCATGTGAGGTTTTTATGACTTAAGGGAGAATCGAGTGACGAGAGCTATGACTTCATATTATTTCTGTTACAACATTTTATTTATTAATTTTCGTAAATTTTATATCAATTATTAAGTTATATGGTAGAAATAATACTAATTTAATTATTATAAGCATGATCTTTGACCAGCAGACTCTGGAGATCAATCTAATCACATTCAGTGACACAGCATCATATCTACAGACTTATAACGCTATAAATTGGGTTTCGATAGCCGTGGTGGGAAGAGTACAGATAGCACATTGTGTAGTTTTGTGTTTAACTTCAAACCAAACTAACAAACCCATTTTTTGGTATCAAACAGACTACCTAACTTTGTTTAAATAAATGTTAGAAAAATTTTTTGTATTGAAAGGACAGTTAAGGAAGAAGATTCAATTGACGACATTTCGAAATTCTTCCATCTTCATTTAGAAAAAACAAATGTGGATGATTAGTGGGTATGGAAATATCATGAAAGGAATCTCTTCATAAGGTATGTCTTTATTCACAAAATATTTCTCAAGTTTTCTGTACTGAAATTCAAGTTCTAGATGCATAGAATGTATCCAGCTCTTACAGTGTTACTTTTTTCCTTTCGTAAACATCTAGGAGAACAAGCCTTGGCATATTTTTATACACGAGGTAGATTGAATACAGTTCTAAGTGAAGTTAGTTCTTGGTTAGGTTTGCTCCTGGCCTGGTTAAGTAAGGTAATCCTTAAGTTTTGCTTACCCTTCATCTTGCTGGCCATAAAGAGAAGGGAGTCCTTATTCAAACAGACACATTGTTTTGTTGTGATAAAATAAAGTGATTCTGTTTTCTGTCCAATTTCTTTACACACACTCACGTACGAATTCGATGAACCTTTTGTTAGTGTTGACTTGTGATTTTTTGGTGGTTTTAATTGTGCTTTGAAACACTACAAGCTACATTATCAAGATATGTTTGAGGAAGTTTTCACTGAACATGCTCATCCTTTTAGCCATGGGGAAATTGCAATATAACGATCATTTCCACTATTCGGTGGTATAGGGAATCTAAAAAGTTGGCAGTTGGAGGTGTTGCCTAGCTTCCTTTCCTTTAGTTTTGTTTGTTTGTTTTTTGAATTTCGCGCAAAGCTACACGAGGGCTATCTGCGCTAGCCGTCCCTAATTTAGCAGTGTAAGACTAAAAGGAAGACAACTAGTCATCACCACCCACCACCAACTCTTGGGCTAATCTTTACCAACGAATAGTGGGATTGACCGTCACATTATAACGCCCCCACGGCTGAAAGGGCGAGCATGTTTGGTGGGACTGGGATTCGAACCCGCGACCCTCTGATTGCGGGTCGAGAGCCCTAACCACCTGGCCATGCCGGACCTCCTTTAGCCTCTAGAAATACGAAAGTTTTACAAAATTAATACATTGTAGCGGAAGCGTAATATGTCAAATTAAATAAAAAAGACTTATTTAATCAAACTAATAATGTAATATTAATCTTAGCTAATTTTAATCATACGTAATAACTGTTGATAAAACTAGTTGTGGCCAATACAATAAAGCTGCTTATTATTATCCCAAACAAAATTCCAAGGAAGCAAAACGTAGACTTGAAAGTTTTAAAGTGGTTGTGATAATCTGTAAAATTTGTAAGCCCACAATCTTCAGCAAGAATATCGTTGAATTACAAATAAATACATTTTGTGTTTAGTTTTCGTAATGAGAAACTTCGATCATGAAATGTGCGAGTGAGTTTACAAGTGCTGTCCACAAAACCTTATAATGATGAACAAATTTAATTGTATCTGATAGCTGTTAGTAATAAACATTGTAACATAACTTCTTATGAATATTCGTATATGGGAATGGAAGGTTTAAAGTTGATTGAACGATCAATGATAGTGACATTTAAATTTAGATAGCTAGT